GGAGGCTGTACCATCTCTCCATGTTCCTTTCCTCATCTCTACGTGTTGGCACACTAACTTTAGCACTATCCAATTGCGGTATGGGTTGTATTTATAACCTATCCCGAGGAATGTAGAAATATGCAGGAGATCTATAAATTGCTTTGGTGTTTCTACAGTACAACAAAGATATTTATAGTGTAGCTGGGCTTGTAACTTTTGGCACCTACAAAGATCTGATTGAAGCTTCAGTTATCTCATCATAAGTCAGAGGTGACCCTTGGAAACTTTCTAGGAGACCCCCTGTTCATTTAACTTTCCCATTCATCTCTGTGTCTCTTCATGTACCACCCTGTCTGGTAACCATCCAGCCAGTGCCAAAGCCATCAATATTTAATCGGGTTGGCCCTAGTATTGTGATGTTATGAGAACAGCATTGTTGATTGACAATTCCTATTTTCTATTCTGTGATTTTTTTAACAGTCATGAGTTTATTAAGCACTATTGGAATACATGCTTCTGGAATTAATTAAGAAACAACTACTGCTTCTTAGAGGCAGTACTAGGAGAGAAATACTTTGCAGCAAGCTTTTACATGATTTATGTGCTTTGAGTCTCAATTCTTAGAAAAAGAGTTAAATTAACATAAACTAGCCTGGAATGGCTGCTGCTCTTGCTGTTTTCTTTAAGACACTCACAGGGCTGGCCAGCCTTTCAGTGTCTCCAAAGAGCATTGGTTAAATGCTGACTTACATTCAGGCTTTTCTAATGGTGTCATCTACATTTCTGTGACATTTTCTATTTTCACCTAGCACTTCTCTGTTTGGCTGTTCTTCTAAATCTCAGATTTCCTGGAGAGAATACACATTTAATACAATATTCAGAAAAAATAGGAGGAAGAACATTTGCTTTCACTATTTCCAACTCATCTTAGGATAAATTTTGTATTTCCAATAGAGACTTGGAATGAAGTCCCTGACGGTTTTGAAACATGAATTTAGCTATTATCTTCTAGAAACACAACAAAGTCTGCTACCAAGCAAAAGTTTTGTCATTTCTCAGGGGCTGACCAAAGTTTTACCTCTTGGTTCAGTTTGCTAGCCGCTCTGATTGATACGCAAAACTCCCTGAATGGTTGCAGACTGGGCCATTCTTATCCCTCAGATCCTTGCTTACAGATTCCTTTCCCCAGAATTCTTTCATGTTTTCTGTTATCCTGTGGGAGGCTTAGTATTCCTTTATAGAGGACCTTAATCCATCTTCTCCATCTCTTCTCTCCCTCTTACAAGAAAAAAATAACACCCAGCAAGGCACTAGAGTCTCATGAATATAATCCGAGCCAGTCAGGTGGCTGAGATTTGAAGATGGAAGTTTAAAGTCAGCCCAGAGAGGAAAGTTCATGAGCCTCTCATCTCTAAAAACACTACTCAGAAAAAGCGGAAAGTGTTCCTGTGGCTCAAGTGGTGGAGCACTAGCCCACTAGCCTTAAAGAAAAGAAGCTCAGGGACAGCACCCAGGCCCTGAGTTAAAGTCCCAGGAGCTGTGTGTGCGCTAGCCCGTGTACAGCCCCTCCCCCTCCCCCCATGGCTCTATACTCATCTGTTTCCTCTTTCTAGTGTCTCCGAGATACTGGTTAAATAATGAATGGCAAACATATTGCAATTTCATGCTTTCTTGGTGTCCAAGACAAAGAATATTTTTAGGTTATGCTCATTAAATTCTTACCATTCATTTTTTTAAAAAAGAAAATTGACAATGGCAATGCCAAGTTTCTCAGGCACTTCTAAGACAAAACAGGTCAGTGGTTCTCAACGGAAGATGATTTAATCATATAAATGGCAATGTCTGAAGACATTCTTGGATGTACGCTGCAGACTCATAGCAAAGCATTATCTAACCGAAAATGTCAGCCGTGTTGATATAGAGAAACTCTGGGGTAGATGAAAGCATATAGAGCTTGGCAGGTCAAAGATAGTTTTTTTTTTTCTGTATATGTAAGTTCTCAGTTCACATTCGGAGATCTCATCAGCAATAATAATTGCACAGAGAATAATAGCTTATACTCGTTACGTTGTGTGTGTGTGTGTGTTGTGCACACGCGTGCATGGGCGTGCATGTTTGTGTGTGAATTCAGAGGCTTAACCTCAGGGCCTCTTACTCTCCCTTGCCTTTTTCACTGAAGGCTGGCATGCTATCACTTGAATCACAGCTCCACTCCTGGCTTTTTGCTAATTCACTGGAGATAAGAGTTTCATGGACTTAGCTGCCCAGGCTGACTTTGAATTAAAATCCTTACATCTCCACCTCCTGAGTATCTAGAATTACAGATGTTAGCCACCAGTGCCTGGCCACAAATACTGTCTTATTTAATCCTTTCAAAAGTGTTGTGATTTAGAAACTACTATTATTTTCCAGTGAGGAGAGCAAAGAATTTACTGAGAAACAAAGAAGCTGCTTTACTAATCTAGAAAATTCTGTTCATTGTCACACTTTGAAGAGTCTAGTAGAATATTTTGTTCCAAGATGTTAGATTCTAGTTTTGGGTCTCACTTTCCTACCTCTTCTCAGGAGCAATTTTTTTTTGTTATTTGATAAAAGTAGATTTCTCTGATTCTGTTCACTTGTATGAACATTGAGATCCACAGAGTATCACCTAGAAGATTCATTTACATATTATATTCCTAGGGACAAAAGTAATTAGTATGTCTGCTGTTTTGACTCTTCTAAGAAGTATCACATGACATGCTGTTGTATTTGTTTTACATTTACTAAATTAAAACGTGAGTGGTTAATTAACTCATCACTTTGTTTAGGGCAATGTTTCTCAACTTCAATGAGCTCATCCAAGGGTTTTGTGAAGTTGACACATTTTAACTTCCAGGTTCTGCACTTCAACCAGTTTCTTAGGTCAGACTCATGCTGCTAGACCAAATGGCACAGGAGCAGCAAAATGTGAGCATGCTTTTTCAAGGCATAAGATGCTTTGAAATCAGAATTAATGCAGAGCTGAGGGGATGGCACGAGACTTTTCTCCATATTAGTGGTTTGATTCTTACATAAAGCATCTTGTCCATCTGGTTTTGTTTAGAATGAAATATCTCCTCCTCCTTTTAATGGCTTCTAAGTATATACATATAAATATATTAAAAGCATATATAGGTGTATGTATATATACGTATTTGTGTATGCATTTTATCATTTTTGGTTATCAAAGGTATTTTTTAAGAAGGCCTACAATCCTTTCAAATCACAGAAGAAAGGTTATAGTGGCCTTGACACATAAATAATAACATTTACAGTGTTTTGTTTTTCTAATTACATTTCTAAAGATAGCAAAGGGAACATATTTTTAAATGGACCCTCTGTGATTTTAGATATAAGTTTTTCCAATCTCTGTGTGTCAGTGAGAATTAAGATACTTGTGGCTCACCGTGCCCTGTCATGCCAGCTTATTTTGTAAGGAAATCAAATGTGGCACCTTTCAATTAATTTTCTTTACTTCCTTAATCTAAAGACAGAGGGAGCAGGCTCTGGAGCATGATTGCACTCAGTGGATTTCCTTGACTTCCTCAATTTCATCTCCTATCATATCATAATTTGTTAAAAAAAAAGTCCTTCAGCAAAAGCTAGCAAGTACTCACAAACAGGAAGGTGTTAGTGTTGAAACATAATTTATTCTCCATCATGAGTTTGGCAACTCTTCAGAGGCTCACAGTGGCAGATCTCATTTGTCCCTGAAGGTCCCGCAGGAGTGCTGAAGTAGAAATGTGTCGTGGGTTGGAGTTGGTCAGTATCCTTGGGAAGAACTTATGTGAAAGCTATTTTGGAGGAAGAAGAAAGAGGAGGAGAGGCAGAAAGGGAGGAAGAAAAGAGGTGTCTGCCTGCACACGGCCTTTTGTGCATTGTGGGCATCAGTGTGTTGGTGAGATTTAAGCGGCTTACAGTATAGTCCAGTGTCAGGTGAAACACGTGCCTAGTTTTATAATGACATGGACTGTGGTCATGACAAACTTGAGTAACGAACAGGGAGACAAATGATGATCTGACTTTTCTTATGAGTGTTCACAGAAAACAAAACAACAACAAAAATAGAACAAGAAAATTATACCAGTTTATCTGAGTGATATTGTCAGGAGTAATTGTTATTATCTTCTTTTCTATTTCATTCTCTAAAATTCTCCATTAAACAAAAATAAGCTTTTGTATCAGAATTTCAAAATGCATTTCACAAAATGATAGAAACTAGCAAAGTTACAGCTTTAAACATTCTCTCTGAGAGACCACAAATGATAGATATATTTGGAAATAAATGTATTCTGAAGAATTTCTAGATGATTTAGCCTATCTTTGCATTTTTAAGGTTTATAACTCTACAGGGCTTCATGTTATTTTTTTTTTCCTTTCAATTTTGCTACTTGCTCAGTACTATCTGCATCTTAAAACAAGACTATGGCCAGTAGTAGTGGTCATTAGTGGACTCAATCAACTTAGCAGTGTGTATGTTGTACTTGAGTATTTGGATATATAAATATATGTAAATGTGTATGCTTATTTATTTTGTATCTAGCCTAGGTCTTGAACTCAGGGCCTAGACATTGTCCCTGAGCTTGTTTTACTCAAGGCTAGCACTATACCATGTGAGCCACAGTTCCACATCTGGCTAGTTGCTGGTTATGTGGAGATAAGAGTCTCATGAACTTTCCTGCCTGGGCTGGCTTCGAACCGTGATCCCCAGATTTTAGCCTCCTGAGTAGCTAGGATCACAGGAGTGATCCACCAGCTTCCCCAGCTCACAAATAGATATTTAAGAGGAGATCTTGACTTCACTATTAGCAACATGAGTATTGAAAAATAATCTGAATATATCAATTTAGTTACAGTGTTCCGAAAGGCCACTTCCTGCTAACCTGCCTTCTGATACTTAGCCCCAATGAATAGATTTAGAAAGGTGTATGGTCATATCAGTATGTCTTCTCTTACTGTCCTTCGCTGACTCTTTTCTCTCTTCTTTCTTTCACCAGATTGCAGATTGTGTTTAAGGTATCTGTAGACCGATCAGTGTGGGCTTGATCTACCACAGAAGCAGCAAGTTCAGTCTCCTCCACTGCGCTTGGTTGGGCACTGCTGATAAACTCGACATCACCTGTTGCCTGTGCGGAAAATTCCCAGTATTGAATTTTTGTTGTTGTTGTGCACGAAGGAGACCAGCAAAGACGGTAACACAGACTGATCAGACCAGAGATATCAGGAAGATTCTATTAATTTCTTCTTTCTTTTTTTTTCTTTTTCTTTTTTTTTTTTTTGTTTTTACTGTGCCCTCAGGACATTTCCTAGAGTTCTGGACTTTTAACCAAACCCTGCCCAGTCGTTTTGATTTTGCTATTTTGTTTTAGTACTTTTTTTTTTTTTTTTTAAGATTTTCCCCCAACACATTGTATTTTATTTCTGCACATCAGAAATGGGCCTACAGACCACCAAGTGGCCCAGCCATGGGGCTTTTCCCCTGAAATCTTGGCTTCTCGTTTTCCTGGGGCTCTGCTCACAAGCATCACAACTCCTGGCCTGCCCTAGCGTGTGCCGCTGCGACAGGAACTTTGTCTACTGTAATGAGCGAAGCTTGACCTCAGTGCCTCTTGGGATCCCGGAGGGCGTCACCGTACTCTACCTCCACAACAACCAAATTAACAACGCTGGATTTCCTGCCGGGCTGCACCATGTGCAGTCAGTGCACACAGTCTACCTGTACGGCAACCAACTGGACGAGTTCCCCATGAACCTTCCCAAGAACGTCAGAGTGCTCCACCTGCAGGAAAACAACATTCAGACCATTTCCCGGGCGGCTCTCGCCCAGCTCCTGAAGCTCGAAGAGCTCCACCTGGATGATAACTCCATCTCCACGGTGGGGGTGGAGGATGGGGCCTTCCGCGAGGCCATCAGCCTCAAACTGTTGTTCTTGTCCAAGAACCACCTGAGCAGCGTGCCCGTGGGGCTGCCCGTGGACCTGCAGGAGCTGAGGGTGGACGAGAACCGCATCGCCGTCATCTCCGACATGGCCTTCCAGAACCTCACAAGCCTGGAGCGCCTGATCGTGGACGGGAACCTCCTGACCAACAAGGGCATTGCCGAGGGCACCTTCAGTCATCTCACCAAGCTCAAGGAATTCTCCATCGTGCGCAACTCCCTCTCCCGGCCGCCTCCGGACCTGCCGGGCACGCATCTGATCAGGCTGTATCTGCAGGACAACCAGATCAATCACATCCCCCTGACTGCCTTCTCCAACCTCCGGAAGCTGGAACGCCTGGATATCTCCAACAACCAACTCCGAATGTTGACCCAGGGGGTCTTCGATAACCTCTCCAACCTGAAGCAGCTCACTGCAAGGAATAACCCTTGGTTTTGTGACTGCAGTATTAAGTGGGTCACCGAATGGCTCAAATACATCCCTTCCTCTCTCAACGTGCGGGGTTTCATGTGCCAAGGCCCCGAGCAAGTTCGAGGGATGGCCGTCAGGGAGTTGAATATGAATCTTCTGTCCTGCCCTGCCACCACCCCGGGGCTGCCTCTCTTCACCCCAGCCCCAACTACTCTCCTGCCAACAACGCAGCCTCCCACGCTTTCTGCTCCAACCCCCAGTAGAGGACATACCCCTCCAGCTCCCACCACATCGAAACCCCCCACCATTCCTGATTGGGATGGCCGAGAAAGAGCGACTCCACCCATCTCGGAACGGATCCAGCTCTCCATCCATTTCGTAAATGACACTTCCATTCAAGTTAGCTGGCTCTCGCTCTTTACTGTGATGGCGTACAAACTCACCTGGGTGAAGATGGGTCACAGTCTGGTAGGGGGCATTGTCCAGGAGCGCATTGTGAGTGGTGAGAAGCAACATTTGAGCCTGGTGAATTTAGAGCCCAGATCCACCTATCGGATTTGCTTAGTGCCCCTGGATGCGTTTAACTTCCGCACCGTGGAAGACACTATCTGCTCCGAGGCCACCACCCTGGCCTCCTACTTGAACAATGGCAGCAACACCGCATCCAGCCACGAGCAGACGACTTCTCACAGCATGAGCTCCCCTTTTCTGCTGGCCGGCTTGATTGGGGGCGCCGTGATATTTGTGCTCGTGGTCTTGCTCAGTGTCTTTTGCTGGCACATGCACAAAAAGGGGCGCTACACCTCCCAGAAGTGGAAATACAACCGGGGTCGGCGGAAAGATGACTACTGTGAGGCCGGCACCAAGAAGGACAACTCCATCCTGGAGATGACAGAGACCAGTTTTCAGATCGTCTCCTTAAACAACGATCAGCTCCTTAAAGGAGATTTCAGACTGCAGCCCATTTACACCCCAAATGGGGGCATTAATTACACAGACTGTCATATCCCCAACAACATGAGATACTGCAACAGCAGCGTGCCAGACCTGGAGCACTGCCATACATAACAATCCAGAGGCCCAGAGTCAGACTGGCAGACAACCAAACTCTGGGGAACACACAAGTGCGTGCACATACAAGACACGCAAATTACATTTGATAAATGTTACCCAGATGCATTTGTGCATTTGAATACTCTGTAATTTATACGGTGTACTATATAATGGGATTTAAAAGAAAAAAAAGTGCTATCTTTTCTATTTCAAGTTAATTACAAACAGTTTTGTAACTCTTTGCTTTTTAAATCTTAAAAAAAAAAATCGTTGCTGAAGTACTGTACAGGGTTGTACAATGAGAACCCAAGGCCAAGGCAGAAGAGTGAGTAATTCTTCCTGACGATGCACACCAAACACTTTGCTGTTTGGAGCAGTCAGAATGAATTCCCTTCATAGATCTGATGGTCAGATGAAAGGTGAGGTTCGAATGGACTCATCAGGGTTCAGGGAATAATGTAGCTAAAGCAAGGACTAGCCCAGGTATTTTCATGCTATTTCTCTATCTCTTGGGCTAAAAGAAAAGTGAATAGGTCCATATTACAAGACTGGAGGGGAGTTACTCTGACTTGACCCAAGGCAGGAATGGCAGAGAGCATCATGAGGAAGTGAGTTCCCAGGAGATGTTAACCCACCTTGACAGAATCAAGAAATTTGAGAGGAGATTTGAAAAATACCTGCAACCCTAAGGGTTTACTTTCTGACTGGAAACTTCAAAATCACTCTTCTTGCTTCCTTGGTCCCATGTGATAACAGTCCTGAGTCTGATTCAATCATCAGACAACCAGTATAGAATTAGTCTTAGAGAGAAGACTCCCTTAAAAAGTGTCACTAATTCAAATCGTATGTCAGGTGGAACCACATTCAACAGAGATATATTCTAGAATAATTTTTTAGAAGAGGCTAATAAAATAATGGGAAGAACTATATTGAATGGAATTATTTTTGATAATAAGAATTATTTGGGTAGTTTCACTGAGGCTATATCAACATGATATTTAGAACAACAAGGGAACACTATTTGGAATATATCACAGTGTTTATTTAAAAGAAGGCCTGATATTATTTAGATACAAAAATAACCAGTCAGTAGTTCTGTTGTACTAGGTCAACTGACTTTGTGAATATCATGTTGAAATAGCTTGAATTAATACTTGTATCCCCTCCCAAATTCTTGTCTTCCAATCATCTTTCATGTATTTTTGTAATTAAGTTATATATGCCAACTTTGTTTTCTCCCTCTGCTCAGTGTTTCAAAGGAAGATATGGATGCAAGTTTTGGTTGCACAAAATATCCATATAATTTCTCATTCTTGAGGATGATGTTAGGGATGTATCAAAGCTGGCCATAAGAAAATGCAAAAATTAATTTAAAGCAATACTAAGTTTCCACCTTGGACTGAATTTGATCCTCTTCCACATTTGAAATTTCATTTGTTCCTTTTCAATTGTGGATGTTCCTCTAATTTGGGAATTGTGGAGAGAAATTGGACCATCAAGGAAAAGTGAATAAGTCAGATTATGGAGTTTCCCTAATTTTGACAGAGCAAATTAATAGCAGAGGACATAGAAAAAAAGAGGGATATCTGTGCTTAATTCTAGATATTTTTGAAGCAAGTGCATCTTCAGAAAAGACATATAATTTACTCTAATCCTTGCCATCTCTTAGATGTAGAAGGGCTATAGATCACATACATTTTCTAAGAAACTAAAACAATAAAAACCCCACACGGTTGGAAAACTATTTTCAAAGTCTTCGTTAGGCATTTCACTCTGTGCTGTGTATTTCCTTTATGGGCTGACCATTATTTTAGAGACACATGAAGTGTCACGATTCTTTTGCTTTCTCTCTCTTTAAACAAAATAAAACTGTGATGTGTCTTCTTTTTTTTAAAGTTTAGGTATAAAATGCTATGCAAGTTTTCCCTTATAGTAAGAGCTTTATTTTCTTTAATAATAGACCCCAAGTTATATGTTTTAATCTCCCTCATCCCTCAGAGCAAGCAGAAGAAGCTATAAATACAGTAGACACAAGAACTGAAAAGGTGCAGTCAGTAGAGCTGAACTTAGCTATGAATTAATTTAATTCTAAAGTGACTTTGATTTTCATTATAGTCTGTTAGCTGGGGGTGGGGGTGGGATTAGGCTGTTTTTTTTTTATGCCACATAGGCATAGTAAAGGGAATAAGACAATCTCAGAAGGAGTTCTATCAGCAAGCCATCTAAAAATCGATGACATGGGGGTACCTAGCTGAATAATGCCCTTTCTCTCTCCTCTTCCCCTTGGCTGTGTAGATAAAACTGTGTTGAAATGATGGTACTTTGGATTCTGAGGTATTTTTATTTCTGTTATACACAAAATAATCATTCTCATTTATTTGTATTGTGCTTTTTTTTTAAAAAAAAAAAAAAACTCCCAGTGGGATTTCTGGCTGCTGAAACTTCTTTGCTTTGTTCCAGGAAGTGTAAGAACGGAGACGTTCCCAGAATAGCATGTGACATTCACAGAAGGATAGAGGTTTCAGTGGCACAATGGAGAAACAGTCCCGTGAAATGATTAGGGTGTGCTGAAGGCATTCTTCTGTCAGAAAGAGCTTCTGTCAGAAAGAGATAGGCTTTATTTTGATTTCATGCACAAATGCGATGGAGACATCTACAATTACAATCAGTCTCCCGTTTGTAGTAACTAACCTGGGGTTCTTGCCTTCCTCGGGAGAGAAAGCACGTAGTGGGATCTGTAGTGTCAAAGGCATACCTTGGAAATTGCTGAACCAAGATCTCTGTTGGATTATGCTTTGACCGGCATTTTTAGTCACGACAGTGGTTTACAATGCCTCCACTGCATAGTGGGGCCTCTCTTGCCAAAAACATAATACATATCAAGGTGGTTAGTCAAGAGTCAGGGCTGCATGTTCAGGCCAACACCACTGGGAAAAGCCCATGTTCACTGGCCTATAAGAAGCTTCACACTGACCAGGTGAAATGATCTCAGATAGCACCCAAGCCAATCACAGCACAGGAGCTGTCAGTGTAAGGGGAACATTTCAGAAGGGAAAGGCATAGCCACCATCACACAGATAGTAACAATAGGTGATTCTTACCAAGAGTAGTCCATAATACTACCTTTTTTTTGAAACCTGTGTTTGATCATGGAGAGCCCTAGGCTTTTCTCAAACACTGAGGACAGTCACAGGCAGAAATGAGAAGATTTCCCTGCATCTTTTCTTTGTGCAACAAGGGGAAAACATCCTCCTTTGTGAGAAATCATGCAATTTATAAGTCTCCAGGTGGTATGGAGACTATATTAGACATTTTCCCCTGACGTTATAAACAAAAATATAATGTGACCAGTCCAGTTTAAAAAAATGTATTAAGTAACTACTACTATCGCACCACTTCCTATTAGCGTGGACCATATGGTCTTTGTCATTTCACACAAGTCAGCACTTCCTTCTCTGCTGGGGAAGACAAGTTGTTCATGTTGGGAGCAAAAGCATTTATTCAAATCACCAACTTTGTCGTCCTGTAGAGCAAGTAGCAGCCATCGCATCCACTGAAGCTTTTGAGAGTCAAGAGGTGAATTCCCATTGATATCTCTGTTTATGGCAATTTTTCTTTTTGGTAACCTATAACAAGAAGACGTGATAGTTTACTTTAGAACATAGAAACAACACATTCACCCATAACTTTTTTAGATGCACGATAAAAATAAAGCAGAAAAGAGTACCCAAAAGAGGAAAAATACACACACAAAACAATACCCAGTTTCCTGGTCTTGTCAAAGCCTGCCTGATGCTCTTTTCTTAAGTCAAAATGCTAATAATAGGAAGCAATTGCTTCCATCTTTCTATGTTATCTTTGTGGGGTTGAATGACAATCACTAGGAATGGAGGTTACTAATTGTGGGGACAATGATTTGTACACATAGGACAGTTTGAACTTTCGTTATTGCTGTTGTTGTTTGGTTTTATAGCTACACACTCCACCAGAAAGAGCACAAACAAAGCCAGTGCAACAGCATTGTTTTTAATTCATAGAAAACATGTACATGTGTGCATACGCAGGTAGATGAGATGTTTGTAAAGATTTTGTGAGATGAAAAATTTATGATTGGGTTAATCTCCTAGGCTTTCCCAGCACCTTAATTGAGGCAATAGAAGTAATCCCCACTGAGTGTTCCCTGCAGGACTGATAGATATATTCATGGAAAATTCATTCTGATGATTTGTCATGGCTTGGAGCCTATTGATTTGCTTCTGGGCTGTGTGCAGTGTTTTCTCTCCAACAAGGGGCTACAAAAAGGCTGGAAGATTGTGCACCACACATTCTCTGAGACATCCCACGTTGCACACTTTGTTAACTTCAGACTTCACTCTACACTATACAGTACCTTGTTGATATATTCAGTAAAGGCTTATTTTAAAAGAAAACCACACTGTGTTGATCTGAGTAAGTTTCTTGGGAGATGGCTAATGCTTGGGTTGGTTGTTGATGATCCAGAAGAAAATGAGCACCACTTACAGATGGAGCAAGGAGGCAGGAATAAATCTGGTGGTGTGAGTTTCATATTCTCCCCTGTGAAATCAGCTTCTGAAGTCCCATCTTCTTTTCTAGTTCCCCACTAAATGGTGTGTTCCTATAAATATCTTTTATGTAGACATACATACATACACAGAATATAATAACCCTTTGTATCTGTGGAAACCTTGTTTAGGGTATAAATAATATCAATGTAGTTATTCAATCACAAGGGGCCCCAGGCAGAATGGTCTTATATATCAGTTTTCTTTAAGAATAGGCTGCCTGGGGCTGGGAAGGTGGCTCAGTGGTAGAGTGCTTGACTTGCAATGCATGAGGCCCTGGGTTCGATTCCCCAGCACCACATAAGTAAAAAGAAAAAAGCTGGAAGTGGCGCTGTGGCTCAAGTGGTAGAGCGCTAGCCTTGAGCTGAATAGCTGAGGGACAGCACCCAGGCCCAGAGTTCAGGCCCCACAACCGGACCAAAAAAAAAAAAAAAAAAAGAATAGGCTGCCTGGTTACTTTTCTCCTTCTGAAAAGTAGCTCGTCCACTCATGCTTTCAGTGGACAGACATGGCGGTTCATCTTTTTATAAGCTCAAGCTCGATTCTGGATTTGTTCTGTAGGATTTTTCAGAACCCTCTTCCATATTTTACCGTGAATGTATTTGACAGACTGAATCAGGAAGCAAATTTGTGACAGCTCAGTTAACTAATAATACTTCTTGCAGAGGCTTGGTTGGAAAATGAACTGCACTACAAAAGACAGTGGTAACATGATTCCTATTACATTGGAGAGATATTACATGAAATAAAGTTCACAGTGTACTTGGCTAACTTTTTTTTTTTTTTGTCGGATGTGGGGCCTGAACTCTGTTAGCTCTTCAGCTCAAAGCTAGCACTCTACCACTTGAGCCACAGCACCACTTCTGGCTTCTTCTGCTTATGTGGTGCTGAGGAATCCAACCTACGACCTCATGCATGCCACCCAAGCACTCTGTCACTGAGCCACCTTCCCCAGCCCTACTTTTGACAAGAGTTTACAGACTTTTCCTCTATGAGACTATTCACTTAGCTAAGGAACACTATTTATTCAAAAGAATTGATGAGGATCCATCTCATCTTTTCCAGGCTCTAGACTGAGTTTAAAGGCCTCACAGTAGAATCAAATATAGTCTTAGCCAAATCATGTATAAACTACACCATTCTGTCTCTGAAGGTATGTATTAATTTACTCATCTACTATCTACTGATTTATGTAGGTTTTTCTGGGGATGCAGAGAAAATAAAGATTGCCATTTAGGAACTCACGGAACATATACTGAATGCTTGTATTATGCATTGTAGTATGCCACATGGCCATACATTCTTTCAATAAACTGGCAAAATACCCAAGATAAAAGCAAAGCTGTATCTAGATGCTGGTTTTGGTTTCTAATGGATGATGCAATGTAAGGGCACATGGACAAATCAGAACTTAATCTGAATTAAAATTTCAGATTCACACCAAAAAAATTGAAAATGTGGGAATTGTAATTGAAAATTCCATATGCTCATATATTTCTATGAGGAAGCAGAATGGAAATTTTTGTAAGTTATTAATAATTATGACACCTGACATTTATCAAGCATGCATATACAGGCATATGCACATGTATGTGTGAATTTGTTTACTTTGGTACACATCTTGTATATAGCCATGTGATGTAAATTCACTTCTCAGACTTTCAGATTTTTAAAGCGGAACTTCACAATCACAAATTCTATAAATGACAGACTCATAAATGAACCCTAACCACCACTTCAAGAACTCCTGTCCTGAAAAGCTTCAAGACTGATTGACCCTCGGGACAAATTATTCAGGAATATCAAGAATTGCTCATTAAAGAGTTATTATAGTTATAATATTAATCTCACAATAGAGGCCAATATGAATATTTATGGCAAATCAATGGAACACTTTCAAAAACATCGCAGATAACTATCTATGTATTTGCAGGCTACTAGCTTCCCATTATTCTGTACAGTTCTGTTTTGTGATAAAGGCTGAACCCTTCTTTGATATGGAAGTTTCAGATAAAATCAATCCCACCCTCAGGGAGAACTGGAAGAATTATTCAGAGGGCTGGAGCAGGGCTATTTTTAGGAATGGATTTGCTGCATACTGGAGAGATTGCTCTAAGTATCCTGTAGATCCTGCTGAAGGTGCACATATGTCAGAGTCAATTAGAGCATTGACAAACTGGCTTCTGAATTTAACATTTTTATAGTACAAATAAATAGGCGCTTTATAGGGATAGTAGAGTTCTATTTTCTTAGAACATTACACATTTTTTTCCTTGTGGTAGGGGACAGTACTGGAGATAGAATTCAAGACTTCAAATGGTCTATTAATTGAGCTAAAGTCCAAGTCCCCTGACCTTCTTAGTTTGTTTTCAGATAGGATCTCTTACTTTTGCCTGGGCTATCCTGGAACCACCATCCTTCTATCTCTGCTTCCTCAAGCAACTGGGAATACAGATATCTGTGGCACATCTGGGTCATGGATACAGAATTTTAGTGATACTTTTCAAACCATGATCAGTGGCATGCATACCAACTGATGATCCCATATGTCAATTTTCTTGACATGAAGTCTGAAATAGATGACCATTTCAACATGTCCTTGGAGTGAGGGTGTCTTATGATTTAATGACATTATAAATATGCATATTGGGTCAGTGTTTCCCTTATCAAATACAACAATGTACTGGATCCAGGAGTCTTAATAAATCCCCTGGTTTAGTTAGCATGGGCCTTAGTAGGTTTAGTTTTGGTTTTGTTTGTCAAGTATTTGCTGAAGATTGGTAAGTTGGGGTGGTGAGCAGAAAAGTTTTCAAAAGGAGTTCAATTTCACATCCAATTTGTATCCAGAAGTTGCTAGTAGTATTCTGAGCATGGCCTAGTTCTTTCTTCAGTGGCTCAGGTACCTGCCTTTAAATAGTCAGCCGAGCATCTTGCTATGTTCAACAAAGACTGGATCTCTCCAATGTATTTTCTCTTTTCCATCCTGCCACTACCGCTTGGCCTCTCTCAGGCCCACTTCGACCTTTTTTACATACTACAGGGCAGAGGACAATCAATCTATAAAGAGGGATTGAGAATGATTGACTTCCTGTGGAAAATGCCCATTGCCATTAAGTGTAAAACAGAAGTAGAACTCCTATGTTAGGTCCCACATCCCTACTTGTGCTGCCTCCCTCTTGGTTCTAGTTACTAGATAAGATCTGTGTTTAGCATGAACAAGCATGCATAGACACTCAGAAACCTCCAATGCTGTACTTCTGCTCAAGATATTTTATACCATGATTGTTGCCTTCATCTAAGGACATACTCATCAATTATGTTCCTTGGAAAATTGCTCACATCATATTTTCCAACCATCCGAATCCCTTGTAAAGTTAACAACTTTGAAATCTTACTTTTTTTTAATCATCTACATACCTTAATGTGTTATGCTTTTGTTTCACGTCTATACTCTGGGTACCCTGGAGAAGGAGAACACATTCAGTCAGTTGTTCATTGTACATAGTGAAAAGTACCATGCCCAATGCCTGGTAGACACTCAGCCACCTCTCACTTTCTTATAACTAAAGATTATTTAAAAAAACCTTCAGACAAAGTTGTGAGAATCTGAATTATATGAATTATAAAAAGCAACTATTAGCCATTGTTGTATTTTTTCATATTTTTTTGTGATTCTTTAGTGGCCATGCATTCCTCTGATTTGGAATGCTTAAGATGAAGTCAGGGTATGTCTGCTTCTGCAGAGTAAGCTGAGTGAACTATTGAAATGACTTGAAAGACTTCCTTTGCTGTCTGGTACAGACAGTCTCAAAATGCTCAGGCAGCTGTTAAAAGATATATCTTAAAAAAATCACCTTTCAACAAAATTTTATGACAATAAAAAGTTCACAAAGTAAGGGTAGATAAAAAAGTCAAACTATGTGGCAATTTTGCCAGTCAAAATGACTTCTTCCCATATAAAACATAGGTTGATTTTCTTTTCATTTCAATCAGCAAAATCAAGAAACAGTCTTTATTCACTGTCACAACCTGCTGCATAAATAATACAGCAGGTATCATTTGGAGGTTTATATTATGTTTTCTTGATTATGTCTGGGGTGGATAGTCCTTTCTAGAAATGATATGTCTCTAATGGAGGAGGAAGTGATATTTTGTGTATTAAAAACTCAGACTTAAAATCAGTCTCACTCATTCTAGAAAACCAGCTCTAACACCGACCAGACAAATTTGCTTTGCCAAATAATGTACAATTGAAGATGATCTGTTTCTTTTTCCAGAAATGGGGACAAAGATATCATTATGGTGACATGTTGTTAACATGCTATCTGATACTAAGATTCAATAAAACATAGAATATATGACATTCCACACCATATAAGTAGGTTCATTCAAACCTACTTAACAAAGGTCGGATGGCATTTCCACCTTTTATGGTGAAAGCAAAATTTCTTGATTATTAGGATCAGAATGAAGACAGCGTTTTTTTATGTTGAATCCTAAGAGTTCCACAAAATAATAATTATTGCTCTTTTATAATTGTATTTTGGAAGAGCTAGAAAAGTTACCATAGGATAATAAAACAGTAGCCTGGATATCACTGACTAGCACTGTTGAATAGAAAGAGATCATGTTATTCATAATGTAGCATATCTTCTCTGTAGATTATAAAGATCAGGTTGGTGTGCTTATTGTGAAATATCAGCTCAAGAAAGGTAAATATTTTTATTGTACAGATACTGTACAGAGGGGTTACAGTTTCATGAGTAAGGGAATGAGTACATTTCCTATCAAGCATTATTAACCCCTCCTTTGTGTTTCCCCTACCATCCCTTCCCTCCCACCTCCCCTAC